GTGAAAGACTTCTCGGTGAAAAAAGTTTCTCCGTGTAAAAGCTTCTGTGTGTAAAAGCTGCTCTGTGTAAAATTTTCAGTGCGCCGTAAACGCTTCTGTGTGTAAAACTTCCTGTGTGTAAACGCGTCTGTATGTCAGAGTTTCTGTGTGTAAATCTCCTTTATGTGAGAGAAAGACTTCTCTGTGTAAAAGCTCCTCTGTGTAAAGACTTCTCTGTGTAAAAGGCTTTTGTCTGTAAAAGCCTCTGTGTGTACAAGCTTGTCTGTGTCAAGACTTCTCTGTGTTAAGACTTCTCTGTGTAAAGACTTCTCTGTGTAAAAGCTACTCTGCGTAAAAGCTTCTGTGCGTGGAGGCTTCTTTGTGTAAACGCATCCGTGTGTAAGCACTCCTGTGTAAATCGTCTGTGTGTAAAAGCTTCCGTGCGTAAAAGTTTCTGTGTAAACGCTTTTTTGTGTAAATACTCTTCTGCGCAAGATCCCTACGGCGGGGGCAAAACCAACCTGTCGAATTCCACTTTTTTTGCTTGGAAACCCTGGGATAGTGATCCACCCCCTCGAATGGAATTGTAAAGTAACATTTCTTAACAAGCCTTGGGCACTGGTTAGAAAATACTTGCGCTTAGCTCCGGAGGAGCTAAGCGCAATTATGATCACGGCAGCGCAATTTTTTGGAGGGATGCCATCCCTACACATGTGCTGCTTCAGTCTGACATGTGCTTAGCTCCTCCGGAGCTAAGCGCAAGTATTTAATTTTCACCTGCTTGCCAATGACATGGAATGATGAGGAATATTGATCATTGAGAAAACATGATTGCAAAAATGGAATTTTAAAATGAAATTTCAGTACGACTCCCCACCCTCAAATTCCATTTTTAAGAGGGTAGGGATAGTGCAAGAGCTTCTCTGTGTAAAGGCTTTCCTGTGTAAAAGCTTGTGTGTTTAAAAGCTTCTGTGTGTAAAGCTCCTCTGCGTGTAAACGTTTCTGCGTGTAAAAGCTGCTCTGTGTAAAAGTTTCGGTGCGCCGTAAACGCTTCTGTGTGCAAAAGCTCCTCTGTGTAAAGACTTCTCTGTGTCAAAGCCTCTGCGTGTACAATCTTTCCCGTGTAAAAGCTACTCTGTGAAAAAGCTGCTCTGTGTAAAAGGCTTCTCTGTGTAAAAGCCTCCGTGTGCGCAAGCTTCTGCGTGTCAAGACTACTCTGTATAAAGACTTCTCTGTGTAAAAGCTTCCGTGCGTAAAACATTTCCTGTAGTGTAAAAGTTTCTCTGTGTAAAAGCTTCCGTGTGTAAAACCTTTCCTGTGTAAAAGTTTCTCTGTGTAAAAGACTCTGTAATGCCCTCCCTGTGTACAAGCTTCTCTGTGTAAAAGATCCTCCGTGTAAAGCTCCTCTGTGTAATCCTCTGTGTAAAAGCTGCTCTGTGTAAAACCCGAGCCACAGCTCCGCATTTTCAGCGCCACTCTTCCCAAGCTAGTTCCCCACCTGTCCGTTCACGCACGGACAGAACGCCGAGCGAAATGAAAACCCCTCCAGCAAAGAACTGTTTCCCATGCATGTCCGGCAGGGCCCTTTGCTCAGCGTTTAAACACCGTTTGAGAAGTCTTTGGCACCACAATCGTGAAAATTCCGTGCCGGCAGCTCTGCTCTTTTAGTCTCGCTTCTTGCCAACGAAGCTATGCATGTCCCATGGCCCAGGGTTTGGAAACTTTGGCAGGTCTTGGGCGCGCAATTTTTCGGAACAATCGTATTGATGAAATTTGTCCTGAAAAACCCGTGCCAACAGCTGTGCATTTTTAGCGTCGCTCCCTGCCAACGAAGCTACGCATGTCCGATCGCCCAACATTTATCAACATTTTCAAACCACTTGACAGGTCTTGGGCGCACAGTTTTTCGGAACAATCGCATTGATGGAATTTGCCCTGACAACCCGTGCCAACAGCTCTACTTCTCAGTATGTCGCTTCCTCCCAACCGAGCTCTCCCCGAGCTATTTCCCACGGTTTTTTGCTCCGTCCACACTGTCGTCGCTTCCATCTCGGTCCTTCCCAACGGAGCGTTTCCCACGGTTTCCCGTCCGTCCACCCTGGCCTGTTGACATCTGTCGACGCTTCCATCTCGCTCCTTCCCAAGCTATTTCCGGCGTTTCCCTTCCGTCCACCCTATCGTCGCTTCCATCTCACTTCTGCCCAGCGGGCTCTTCCCAAGCTATTCCCCAGGGTTTCCCATCCGTCCACGGTGTCCACGCGTCCGCCTCGCTCCTTCCCGATGGTTTCCCCTCCGTCCACCATGTCCTCGCTCCTTCCCAACGAACCTCTCCCCAAGCTATATTTCCACGGATGCCCCTCCGTCCACACTGTCGTCGCTTCCGCCTTGCTCCCGGTCCCTCCCAACGGAGCTCTCCCCAAGCTATTTCCCACAGTTTCCCGTCCGTCCACCCTGTTGACATCTGCGACGCTTCCATCTCGCTCCTTCCCAATTGATCCCAACGGAGCCCTCCAAGCTATTTCCAATGGTTTCCCGTCCGTTCACCCTGTTGACGCTTCCATCTCGCTCCTTCTCAACGGAGCTCTCCCCGAGCTATTTCCCACGGTTTCCCATCCGTCCATCCTGTCGTCGCTTCCCTTTCGCTCCCCCCACGGCAAAGTAAATTAAACGAGTAACCCAAGCATCGGAGATGCTTTTGGGAAAAATGCGCCTACTGCAAGCACAAACTGCTGTGCCAGAAGACAACTCTCCGCGCACAAAAATTACAGGTGAAAAGGAAAGTTTTTCGTGTGCCGAAAAGAAGGAAAAACCGATCGCCGCTGCCCTTTCTGAGTCATTCCACCATGCAGAATCACCAAGGGTGAGAATAGCCAGCGGCAAAACAGGTGCGCGCACACACATACACACGAAACCCAAGGTAACTTCACGCAGCACTTCCATAGCACAAACAAACCAAGAATTCCGACACGCCTCTAGAACATTCTAGAACTAGGTCTTCTGTTAGACCACCTGTTCTCTTGCAAGAGTTTTCTTCTCCTTCGAACCAATCTTTCCCTTGCGCGATGGCCTATAGCTTTTCTCCTGCGGTTGCTTTTCTCTTGCGCAGTCTTTTTCATCTTTTTTCTGTATCTGTCATGTCAATGTGTCTTTCTTCTCAAGAAGTTTTGACAAACGTCGTCTTGCTGCAGGCCTTACCCAGTTCGCTCAGCGCGCCGCCAGCAAAAACCATGTAACGCATGGCCGCGAGACGCGCGCATCACAAAACCTGCAAACCCGATATCTGATGGGTGGCGCGCGCCCAGTCTAGGTTTCAAGCCTTGATCCCATGCAAAACTTCATACTGGTAGGAAGATGGTGTGCTTATAGGTTTGCAAATGCTGCGGGTGTCTCATGAACGAAGGCTTTCACAATGATTATGGCGAGTGTCTTCATTGATTCTTACCTGTCGTGGGTTGCAGCAGCGGCGGCCCAGCACACAAACTGCCAAAACGGCAAAGCTGCAAGACACAAAGCCTTAGAAACTTTCGTCTTGGGACGGCCACAAGGCAGTCAAGGACTTCCAGGTTTCCGATACGGCTCCGTTCCGGTTTTCCGGCTTGCAAAATCTCACACACACACACGCACACACACGCACCACTCCTATACCCAGACCCAAGGCTTTGCTGGGAATATCTTTGAAGAACCTTTACACACCAACTACAAATTCACGAGTCTTCGCGTAGTATTCAAATTGGAACAAAACTGCAAAAACTTGGCCCACAAGCGGATATGTATGTAACTTGTCACACCTCGGCAACTCTCTTTTCCTTCGCAATTTCACAGTCCCATGGGCATGCTTGTCAGCACATCCTTTTCAGAACCTGGCGCGGCCGAGTGAACTGGACAGCGTCACAAACCCAACATAAATCGAATTCAAACATCATGCTTCAATGTCATGGGGTTTCATTTGGCCACCTGTCACACCGAAAGAAACGGTATAACATCAACAAGCTGGCCTTGTGTGGTTTCAATTCAACCCGTCCCCTGAATCAACTGAAATATGAGTCAATAAGCAAGCCGGCCTCCATCACGAATATCGACTGATGGTCTGAAACTAATATGTACCAGTTCCAATGTTCTTGTCCTGCCTCCTCCACCAGGAGCATGAATGGCAAGACTGCGAAGAATTGGGATGCAATTGGGGTTCGAATTTTACAGTCATTGCGGGCATGTGAAGAGTGTGAAGACCGTGAAGCTAGATTTGAGGCGCACATTGGTTTGGAACCCCGATGTTTCCAACGGTCTGGGTCAGAGAGGGTGATGATCCTGCTACTTCACATATAAATAGATACATCAATTAAAATTGATAGTCCAACGTTGGCTTCGTCCTGATTCATGCCCCATGTCTGGATGCAGTGCCATGTTGCCAAAGGCCTCTGCGTAACGTGTCGACTTTCAGCACCTTTCAAGCCGCCTGAGCTGAAAGAATATTTTTGGAAACTTTTTGTTCTTCTGCTGAGAGTGACCACAGAAACGTCTATTGGCCAACTACTGGCCACACACTTGCAAACCATGCACTGCAAACTCTGCATACTGCAACGATCTTGTTGTACTGTGAGGATGGGTCATCGTCCAGTCACCTATTATTGAAGCTAGTGCCACAGCAACTCATCGCATCTGATGGTCAAGAGTCAAATGATGTAACTGATATCATGTTGGCCACTAAATTGCAATGGCACTGCCTTTAAAATCAGGTGACCGCAGCCGAGAGAGACTGTCAAGAAATGCCCCAGCGACATTCCGAAAGGGTTCTCTCTCAATATGCCGTTAGCACAGGCAACCGATCAAACAGTAGCAACTTCGAGTATTTTAGTGCAAAGGAAAAAAATCAAACAGAGCAGAAACATGAGCAGAAACATGAGCAAACAAACAATGGGTGCCATTACCACGCTAATATCACAGCTATGGCTACCGCATGCGTGGTTGAACAACGGAAGCTGCCTAAGCAAAATTGCTTTGCGAGGCTCCGCATGTGAGACTCACTACCTGGAATTGAGATTCCATGCAAGGTCACTTCTTTCAAAGCGATACATCATTCCTCTCACGCTCACCTTAAACCCAGACTCCAGATTCAAATGGCACAAACACTCACGCAGATCCGGAACCTTTGGCACGGAAACAACACTTCTTGCTACAAGATTCGTTTCAGCCAAACATACTGGGCGAGGTGTCTGCAACGTGCGCACTATAGATGTAGGTGCGATGTATGCAAATAGCACTTAGGCATGCTACCAAGCTTCAAGCTCTTTGACGGCCCTTGCATCGCCACAGCTTCTTTCAACAAAAGTCACAAGATCTTGGAGCGCCTTCTTCTGAGCCTCTTCTTTGTATTGCGTGTCACCCATAAACGCCTGGATGGACACCAATCTGGATGCATCCTGAAGGACAGCAGGGTGACCTGCTCCTTCTGTAGGAAGCAAACCCGGCGGTTTCGACAAGAAGCTGTTCCGCCACAGCACCCAATTGACTAGGAAATTCTGCGAAGCAGAGTTGGCCGTGCCCCTTCCCTTCCCCTTCAACAATCTTTTCTTGGAAGAATGGGGCTGGGCCGGCTTGGAATTCCAAAATGCATCCAGGGCCAGATCTGCTTCCCTTTCTGACAGGAGCAGGATTTCCCCTGAAGCTGGGAATAGAACGATTGCATCCACAGGTCGCAAGTAGTCGTCCAAGTTGAGATTTCTGTGTCCCAGGACTGTCCGATAAAAGTTCTCTGTGGCAAATACTGCCGAGTCCGGCCAAGCTTTGATTCCTTTCAACGAGACTGTGGAAGCGAGCATTGTCGGCAAAGTGACCACTTTGATGCCCAAATCTTTGATGCTCTTTGAAACCGGCAGCTTGGACGTGTTCCAATCATCCTCGGGCCTTGGCTGGACACTGGGCAACTGCTTCTCTACTTCTTTCTCCACTTCTTTCTCCACTTCCAGCTCACGCTCATACCTGATGCACCCAGCATCCAGGAAATGAAAAACACGCAACTCACAGGAACACTCCACACTCCTATCTGAGTCCTGCTGTTGCTATCATTACAGGAGGCTGCAAATGGCTGCTCTGTCGTCTGCCAGGCTGCTCTTCGTCGAGGACGTTGGCTGTGACGTGAACTCCGGCTCCGTATCGCTTTGAACGGCGTGTGATCTCAGCGAGAAGCTCGTGGTCCACGTTGCGAAGGCTCCGACTCCGACCAGCCCTCCTGAGACCACTGTCATTGCCAGGGACTGCCAGTACGAGACAGATTATAATAGAAAGAGATTGGATGCAGAGGAGCAAGAGCCCCAGGGCCTTCATTTTAATACTGCGGTTGGGAAACATGCACAGAGTACCACTGCACACCCACTAAGGTCTTTTTAAAGTTTTCACAGTCGTTGAGACGTCCTCCGACTGTTGCAACTATGGCTCAAGGCTCAAGCCATTCAATTGGCTCAAGGCCAATCAACTGACTGGCTCAATTTACCGAGCCCAATCTGGAGCGAAAAGGTGCACCTGCATCTGCCTCTTGGTGGGGAACTCCGGGAAGGGTCTCGGTCATAGTCTGAAACCCGTGGGTTATGAGCCCAACCCAAACGCTGCCTTGAAGCCATGTCGAGCAGCGACTTCACTCAGCGTCGTCGACAAGAACGCCAAGTTCAAGCGGCTGCTCATGCTGAAGAAGTACAACATGGGACCCATGGAAAAGAAGAACGCGAGGAAACGGCAGACCAAATGCTGGATCGGCTTCTGGAGGAGATGGACACACCTGGACAAGAACATGGGGAAAAAACAGGGACAAGATCATCAGACTCAACCCGAAGATCACTGATGGGAAAGGGAGTTGGAGAAAGTAGGATGGCACTAACCGGTGCTGGGGGAAGTGGAGCCCTAGTGCAGGTTGCGGCGGTCCGAGCTGGAGCGGGCGAACAAATTGCCCAGAATCCGGCTGTTGCGGAAGAAGTCGCAAGACCAGTGTCCTTACCACCTGAAGAACCTCCTAGACTTGTAGTGGTACGAGGAAAAGGGAATGGTGATTTGTTGTCTGGTTTGACCCCAGGTGTGAATAGTCTAACTCTTTCGGGGGTGCCAATGACACAAACACCAGTAGTTGCCCGGATGTCTGAGGGATTTCGTGAACCACCTGTTGTGGGTAATCGAGAAGAAGGACAGGGTGGAAAACACCAAAGCTCAACTGAAGTGGGTGGAGGTGCGGCTGCTGTTGTGGGAACAGTTGCTCTTTTGGAGAGACCGGGACGTTCACCTGTGGTGCCAGCGGCGCCAACAGGTCCACCTGTGAGCTACCAGCCAATGGGACCACCTGTGGTGTACGCCGCAACTGGTGGGGCACAGGGTTCACAGGTAGCTGGGATGTCCCAGCAATCCATGTGTGCTGGAGTGCCACCTACGGGAATGGTGCCTCAGTGGGGAACGGCGGTTGTGGATCCTGGGATGGTAACCGGGGTCATGGCTGCAGAAGAAACAAATCCATGGAGTGCTGCAAAGCGAGTGGAAGCTCTAATGAGCAGCCCACAAACTCCAGTGAAGGAATTGACTTATCCCACAGTATCGCAAGACCTGATTGATCGGGCTGATGCGAGGGAGAAGAAAAAATATGAAGAGTTGAAACAGCATGTTGTGGAAGTCTTTCAGCGGGGCAAGACCGAGATCCAACAAGATCGAGAAAATTGGTTAGCCACGCTGGAAGAGAAACAAACCTTGGAAAGGGCCCAAGAAACAGGAGGAGGTCACAAGGGCTCTCAGTCAAGTGGGGGGTCTTATCAAACCGCCTCTCCGGAGCAGAACATCGGGCAATGTTTTCCTGTGGGGCCATCTCAAGGTGTTCCACCCCAAGGACAACATTTGCTAGATCAACCAGTTCCGGGAGTTCAACATCATCATGATCAAGATCTTCAAATGAAGGCGGAAGGTCCGTTGTGGAATGTGCCTCCTGCGCTCAAGGTCGAACAAGGTTTTCGGCCGATGGATGTGTATATGAATCAAGGGTGGCTGAATGGAATGCCACCGGGAGGTATGCCGCAGAGAGCGGCGTCAAAACCACTGATGGGGGCTCCATGTATGGGAGCCACGGAAACCACAAGACACTTTTTCATCGGTGATCAACCTAGTCAATGGTATAATCCTCAAGCCCAAGTTGGAGGAGCACCTGCCGGACAAGATCATCGACCTCAAGGAGGTTTTGCATTTCCGGGTGGAAACGCCGGACCTATGGGTGGTTATGGTTGGCCAAGGGGTCCACCGCCAGGGCAGTATGGAAATCCGGGACAAGCACCTGGTCCGCCAGGTGGTCATCAGGGAAATCCAGGTCTCCCAGGTGGTCAATCCAGGACAAGCTGTACCGCCACAACAACAACAAGCTGTAGTCCAAGCAGGACCTCAGGCAGGGGGAGAAGTACCAGGCGAAACGCTAAGGTCGGTCGAATTGCCGAAGCTGGACAGGAATGCAACATCTTTGGACTTTGGAGACTGGCTGACAGTTGTCCAACAGATGATTGGGGATGTGAGCTACACCTCAGCGCAATGGTGGGGAGTAGTGATGACTGCTGTTGAACAAGCATACCATCACTGGTTGCAAGCGGATCCACTCATGAGGCTCCGGATGGCGCCTGTGATACCTGACATGGCCCGTGGGTGGCCTCGCACAGAGAACCGGGTGGTGGGTATGCTGCTTCAAGCTGTCCCCAAGGACATCTACGAGGACCTTGTGGCGAACAGACACATGTCAGCGGGTCAAGTCATGTTCAAGCTGTACACCGTCTTCCAACCTGGAGGACAAGTGGAAAGAACTTCTCTACTACAAATGTTGGTGGACTGGAAGGGTCCATCCAATAATGCTGCAGAGATGGTCAACTCCATCCGGAAGTGGAGAAGATGGGTTCGTGCCGAAGAACTTCAATTAGTTTTACCCGATCCTCTGGTTTTGGCCGGAGTGGTCGCAAAAATGAGTGATGCACTAGCCAGGTTGGGGGGAGCTCAGGCTGCATACCGGTTGTCCTCGGTGAGACAGCATTTGGGCATAGATCTCCGGAAGGAGGGGGGAGAAGCCCGAGATGCCGATTAACGCGGCTATAGTGTGGTCCACAAGACTGCGTGCATCAACTGGCTGACAGATAAGGGATGCCAATATGCTGACCGGTGCCGGTTCACGCACGCTGTCCTGGACTCCAAAGATGGCCGATGTTTCAACTGTTCTGGAAAAGGACACTCCCGACGTGATTGTCCGGCGGGAAAACGAAGTGAGTCACGAGGTCCACAAGGTGGATCTGAGGAACCAAAGGTGGCCAAAACCACAAGAATCCGCTCAAGATCTCAAGAGAGGAAAAATGGTCCTGGAAAAGAGGGAGGTGCTGCTCAAGAACATCCTGAACCTACCGTGAAGATCAATCCGATGAAGGAGTCCACGGTCACTATAACCCCTGTACCAGAGGAGACCAAAAAGGTTGTGGGAGAAGTGACCAACCTTTTGAAGGGTCTCAATGGACCGGTCTTGAAATCGGTGGGGCATGGTGGGGATCATCTCGAAGTTGAATTTGATGATGGAACAGGTTTATTGGATGGTGGGGCGACACACCCCTTGAGACAGGGATCAGCCGAGGAGATCAAGAACGCGGTGCAGGTCACTGTGGAGCTCGCGCATGGAGCTACTCAGCTCTATCAGAACCCTCCTCTTGTCGACCGGTGGAACCAATTGTGCCTCTTCGAGGTTTGGTGGAATTGGGATACACCATCACTTGGTCCCGTGCAGGATGTGTTGTGAAGCATCCACGACTGGGAAAACTAGAATGTTGGTTAAGGTCTGGATGTCCAGTGGTTCGAAAGGACCACGCTCTGGTTCTGATCACTGAGATTGAGCACATGGAGATGGAAAAGAGTACCAACCATCGGCTCACATTGGAAGAGCCCACGGAGAAGACCAAGAAGTGGTGGGGATCACGATTTCCGGAAACACCGGACAGAATCTGGAATTAAATGCGGGGTCAAGATGAAGAAGATCCACAAATGAACCATGATTTGCCATGGAACCGGCACAAAAGAAGGAGGCTGCTCACCTCAAAAGGGGTTATAGTCCACCTCTTTGCCGGGAAAGGGCGAAGGAATGGCGAAGGAATCCCATCAACGGAATTGAAGTCATTACTTTGGATATCACTGAAGGTCGAAATCAAGATCTACACAATCCTGGAACATGGAGTTTCCTTTGGAAACTTGCAAGCCTGGGAAAACTTCTTGCTATCATCGGGGGACCTCCCTGTCGGACGGTCAGCCGATTGAGACAGAAACAACCGGGACCAAGACCATTGCGTGGACGTTTCCATGACCGGTATGGTCTACCAGGATTGACAGATCGGGAGAAGAACTTGGCTGATTCAGATGCGGCACTGCTGCTGAAACAAGTTGGCCTGTTCATAAGGTCTGAAGAATGCCGCGAGCGTCATCGTGGGAGAACCGCTTTCCTCTTGGAGAGCCCACAAGATCCGTTGACGTATGTTCCACAAGCTCGCGAAGAAGAAAGTCCAGGCTTTTGGGCGTGGCCGGAGTTAATGCAGCTGCTCCGCTACCAAGGAATGGGTTTGGTATCCTTTGATCAAGGGTGCTTTGGGCACTCACGACGGAAACCGACCACGTGCCTCACAAACCTGGAGGACATGAGAGATTTGGAAGATCAACGCAGCACCAAGCACTGCGAGGCCCTGCCAAAGGACATCAAAGACCGTTGCCATCTGCTTGTCGTCCACTTGGGCGGTATGGGCACCGGGATTGAGGGCTGCCATCCGAGAAGCACTTCACCGACATCTCAAACGGGAAGGTGATGAAACTGCGGGTGAAGAGCCACATTTGGCCAAGATGACGTCAGAGGAAGCCTGGGAAGCCATATTCGTCAAGGCCATCGACCATATAGAAGGGATTGTAGGACTTGTGTTTTGGAAATGGGTGCAAGGTCTCCACATCGGAGGAGACGCGATGCTACAACGTCGTCATGGGCGATGAGCGTGGACATCGTGGGACCCTTTCCAAAGGTCAGGGATTTATCCTCTGGGAAGGATGTGGTGAAGTATGCAATGGTGGCCACCGCTTTGGTCCCGGATTACATCACCAAAACTGGAGGAGAAGATGAAGATCGACTAAAAGGACAACAAGATCAAGCTCAATCGAAGGACATCGTGATGCCATGTGAAGAATCCCCAGAAAAGGGGAAACCCAAAGTTC